CCCCTATTGAACCATTCCTCCTCCAACAATGCTGTTTTAACACCTCTCTCAGATTAATAACACCTCCTAGGCTCCAATCATGAAATCAACACCTTCCCTCCATGAGTTCCCTGACCCCGTGCTGGTTATGATAAACAGGTTATGTGGAGCCACGTTCACCATATTTAGTCCCAGATAATTTTTCGTACAAGTCATTCTGAACTGAGAAAGCTGGTCGGATGACCAGCGAAACGTCTTCAAGAAGAATACAGCGAGTATTGCCAGTTGCCTTGATTTCATTTTTTTTACAGATCTGTCCTAATGTTTGGCTGACTGAGTGGACAACGGTGCCGAATGTCTAGCGGTGCTAAAACTGATATTTTGACTTCTCAGCAACATGCTAATTGTTTATATCAAAATGTTCCATTTCCCTGTACGAGGCAGGTGCATCACGGCTGGTGGGAGGGGCCAGCGGGGTGCCGGCCTAATTCTGCCCCAGTACTGCCCTCAAGAGGCCCCCCCAGCCCTGATGCAGGCAGTGAGTTGGCTCGTGGGAGGAGTTATGCAAATCTCAAAATGCTTTGATGGGTGAATGTCAGTCTGGAGTGGGCATTTTTACCATTTGCATGCAGACCGCCCACCAGGTAACGCCCACATGAGATGCTGAGCCTCCAGATCTAATAAATGAAAGGGGCGGGTCAGGCCGGGAAGGAAGAACCTTGATCATCAAACCATCCCGGAATGCTGATAATTTGGCTCAAAATATGCCTCCTTCCTTTTCAGGTCATCACAATGAATGCACCAATAGGAGCCCAGGACTACTATATCCCCCCCCTACCTGTGTGCTATGGAACATGATATTCCTAGACACAACTGTACAATGTATCTTCTTGTGTCCCTCAAAACTCACTTTTTCGGTCAATAGAAGTCATTTTTAGGGCTGCAACAACTAATCGACATAATCGATTATAATCGATTATTGAAAAAGTTGTCAACTTTTTCAATCATCGATTAATCGGCATCAGAAATCAAAGTTACCCTAATGAAGTCACCCGGGTAGAAAGAGACTGTATTAAGGTGCCCCCCTCCCCCCCCCAGAACCACATCTCCTAAGAGCCCTTTCTCTACACTCACCTCACCAGGATGACTGGAGGGAATACAACGAATGTGAAAATCTCAGTCGTGGATGGAAAGTAAGTAGATTGCTTGATAAAGCCGTCACAGGCCAACCCACCATGTCCGGTGAGCTCTCCTCCAGCCCTGTGGGCCTCTAGTCCAGTGCGGGTTAGTCTAGCCCTGTGGAGGTTCCAAGGATCTGATTGGCTGCAGGATGGACAATTGCCTATAATGGGATGCCGTGTACACCTCAGAGGTCTGCCACCCGAACCTCCAAAACACATCTCACATAGAATGGAGGCATCACTCCAAGTCCCCTCTATACCTGAGAACTGTCTGTGCCGCCCTATACAGACTCTATGACCCCCCCCCCGGAGGGAAGCGTGTGATTGGTCCCTATAGGACAACAGACA